GTTTTTCTAGTTACACAAAGAATTAGTAATTATGATTAGTCAAATTACATGTTGTTTGCATATAAATCATATGATACCATATGATATTAGTTACACAATATTGATCTACAATCTATTTTATATGAATTTAAAAATAGTTACACTCTATCTATAATATATACTATCACCTCATATCCTGTTTTTAACTTCTCTCTATCATAGCTATACCCCTACTCTCTATACTCTACACTAAAAAGTCTTATACCTATCACTCTAATTCAATCTTTAGACCCTTTTGAAATTTTTTATTTGCAAGCTTCTCAACTTATTATCAAAGCACTTTTAAAAATCTCTAACCAACTTTATAATAATATTTAGATTCCCTACTGCTCTTACTTTTCTCACTGAAAAAGAGCCCACCAAATCTTATACAAATCAATACTATACCTCACACCTTACTACCTTCTAGAAATTACAGAAATAGAATTAATTACACTTATAGTTGCTCTTGTGGCTTCACTAACCACTTATATTCAGAATCTAATACATGTCTTCCATTAGGACAAGCTTCTTTTAAATACAATATTTGGTCTACTATGTGAATCAAATATAGTATACCTATTAATTATATCTTAACTATCTAAATCTAGGTGAGTCTTGACCACTCTAGTAGGTTTAGATCACAGATAAATTAGTCTGAGCTTTTATTCTTGTATGTAATTTATATTTATACAAATTGAGTTTTTATATAGTTTCTATATAACTACTTATATAAATTATTTAATAAAGATATAAGCAAGATTTCACCTTAATACCAAAAAAAAAATAATAAAAAATACTATTTAATTATAATAAAAACAAATAAAAAAAGTATAAAAAAGAAAAAAATAAAAACAGACAAAATAGCACTATTTTTACCTGTATCAAGGCTTAAAAAATTATATACACATTATAAAGTAATATTTATATATCTCTTTTATAAAGCTTTGCTTTACACTTATTTTTTTTTTATCTTGACAAACCAACTTTAGAAGTTTTTAACCAATCTACTCCTAGTCCATATCTTAAGCCAGATGCTACTACTATCTGAGAACTTATATCTCAAGCCACTTGCTACTGCTTTTAAAAGTATTTTGATCTGGAGTTGATCCAAAATTGTAGCTTCATACTTATTTAGGCCAAACATGTAATTACTGTTTACAGTATTATCTAAATTTAGAAACTGTAAGCAATATTGATCCTTTGGCAGAGTTAAGCTATTTTGCCCACTTTTTTTAAAAAAATTTTTTGTCATCAAGATGTATGGGTATTAGAGGCCAAAGAAGTAAAAAGTGTATCAAAGAGATAAGTGTAGAAGTTATTCTATATAGAATATTATATTTTAACAAACTACTACTTCTATTTTCATATCTATAGTGCTTGACAAAGCTCTAGAGTTGCTTTATTACTTCTTTGCTTAGTAATACTGTAGCTTGCCATGATGCCTGTCTGCTATTAATCTTTTTTAACTCTATTTCAGTAAACTGAACACTTAGTGAATGAACTTTGTATCTAATAGCAGTTAGATAAAGTGTTGTTTGTATAAAATACAATATGTATAAGGTTTTTATAGTTTAGTTTTTCTGTAAAATTTTAGTACAAAAAAAATTCTTTCTGCTAATCCTCTGTACCAAAAATGGCCAGAAAAAAATAACAAGTAGAGCAAAATTGAGCATAGATTACAGTACAAGCACTACTAAGAAAAGACAAAGAGCACTCAAAATAAACAGCAGTCTTATAGAAGCACAAGCTCTTTAACAAGAGAAACATATTAAAAAAGTGAAAAATAGCTTTGGCAAATTGTTTTTGAAAAATTTGGGGAATTAAGCTAGACCTTGAATGTATCTGTTTATAAACATGTATACAAGCAAGTAAACAAACAAGTACGAATAGTATAGACAAAGTAAACAAAGCAAATAAACACCAAACATATGTACCAATTTAGGCAAATAAACAAACAATTAGTTAAACAAAGATAAAGCAAATAAATACGTGGCATTTATTCTAAAAGAGTTAGGGTAAAATTAAATCAACATTTACAATAATAGTAAAATAGCTAGAAATAAGAAAATAGTAACATTTAAAGATCTTGCAAAGGCATCACAAAACAAGCAGCAAGAAATCTATAAAGAGTATAGCCTTCTTATACTAAAAATAGATAAAAATATAGCAAGATACTTAGAATATGAGCATCCTGAAGTTATAACAGTATTGCAATTCATACTAAACAGTTATGAGTAGTTAGAAATCAAAAAGAGTTAGAGTAAAGAGCTCTCAATTGAGGAGCACATACTGATAAAGAATATAACAGAAATTTTAGCTAAAGAAAAATTAAAAAGACAAAGAGAAAAATTAGTGAAAATGCAAGATAACCAAACAACAGGTTTAGAAATAGCAATAGATACTAAAGTAGATCTCAAAAAAAAGAAAGAAGACAACATTGCAAAAAATCTCAAGACCAAAAAGAAAGAAGATAATATTAGAACTAAACTAGCCAAAATGATTCTAAATAAGAGTGAGAGAAGATAAAACAACAGAGACAGAAAAAAAAACAACTTTGACATATATACTGAATGTAAACAGATGGATCATGACACAGAGGTAGTCAAAGATTGGGTTGTATTAGTTAAAAAAAAAGAAAAAGAAGAGATTTTTAACAAAGAAAAAGAAAAGCTAGCTACAGAGATAAAAGAAGATATCTATAGCTCTATGTGGGCACTAAAAGAAAAGACAACATGAAATATATAAGGTAGAAAGAAAAAACTAGAAAAGATTAAACTCACTATATGGGATATCCCAAATGAGACAAGAGCAGCACAAATAAGAAGATGTTTTAACTACTTTGGCAAAGCAACAATACTAGGCTTTAAGACTAATAGTGAAAATAAAGTGATATATATAACAGTAGAGCCAAAAGATAAAAGAAAAGAGAGATTTTATAGACAGCTTGGGCAATATACTTTGAAGAAGAAAAGATGTCCAGATTAACACAAGCAAAATATGATACAGAAACATTACAGAAGAGAAGTAGCTACAAAGCAATTCTAAAAGAAGTGTCCAGGTTAGCAACAGAAGCAGCCTTGCTTAGACAGCTCAAAGTAGTAAATACAATAGCAGTTTACATATTAAAGAATAGAAATAGAAATCTAAGACAATTAGCAACAGTATATTTTGATAATAAGGTTGACAGGCAAAATGCATACAGAAGAGCAATATATTATTACATTAATAAATTAGAGTGGGCAAATAACTCCAGCATAATAGATCTGCTCGATAGAAATAGGCATAAGCATAAACCAGAAAAAGAAAACAAGACTAGGCTCAGTCTTTATCAAATTTTTACAAAGAGTCAGTCTAGTCAAAACAAAAGAGCAAAAAAGCTAAATAGTAGATATAATAATAGTGAACATAGTAGTAGAGTAAATAGTAGCTTTGGATCTTGCAATACAATCTAAAAAACACTTAGCAGTTTATGAAATATAATGATACCCAACTCTGAACATGATTTAGTAGAAATTGCAACTAGCTTAAACAAAGAAATTGTGGGTAAAAGAAAAGAAAATAAGCAGAAGTAGAAAAAGAGAATGAAATTATGAAAATTATAGCAGAAATGCAAAAAAAATTTAAAACAATAAAGCAAATGCTCACAATGTGCACATGAAAGTCGTCCCAGTTGAATTACAAGTAAAAGAGTTGAAAAATACATTAGAGGCAGAAGAACCCTCCCTGCCCAGACCCAAATAAGATATATTATGAAACTTACAAAGCAAATTTAGAAACTAGAAGTGATGAAAGCTATATAAAAATAGCTTTTTACAATATTAAAGGAGTTAAAACAGACAATACAAAAATAGATAGTTTTTAGATTTAGCAGAAGAGAAAGGTTTGGATATTTTTTCACAACATATATCCTTATTTATTTACATCTCCCAACTGCTTTGCTTGTAACAACCCAGACTCTTCTTCTCACTGATACATCTGTACTAGCCATACCTAATTCAAACTATTAATTCTACTATACACCATACCTTATATAACTCTAATCTTGATCTCTCCTACCCCAACTAAATAACCTCATATATACGATCTCCTCACATTCTGCCTTTTATCCCCAACCCTCTCAACTCTATCCATTCTCTCTTCAGTCTACACTTAAGGCCTTATACCAATTTCTTTAATCAAATTCTTAGATCCATTTAGCATGGTTTTATCTTTAATATTAAAAAAAAATTATTAATAAAGATATAAGCAAGATCTAATAAAAATAATTAAAAGCTATTAAAGTTGTCTATAAAGAATAGTTAGGGTTAGGGTTAGGGTTAGTGTTAGAGTTATATTAGCATTAGGTAACAGGAGCGTAGCCGGAGGCGTTAGCCGTAGCGAGCAACTACAGAGTGAGCGAAGCGAGCTCTGTTGGTATTACTGAGCGTAGCGAAGAATATAAGCTGTATTGTCTTTAATAAAGTTGTTTATAGAGAAAGTTTAGTTGCGCGTTGCTACTAAAAATAATTAAATGCTATTCAAGTTGTTTATTGCTGATAAATATCAATTATTATTAAAATAACATAAAAAAAATTAATAATATTAAAGCCCGGTGCTATGCACCGGGTTAAAGACTAGTGTACAAATAATAATTCTCTAATTTTAAATAATTTATAATAATTTTATAATATTGTTTTACAACTGTAATAAAAATTTTTTTGCTAATTCTCTATACTACTTTCAAAAAAAAAACTATTACAAAATACAACAAAAGTTAATGCAAAAATATTATATAATTATCTAGAATTTATAAAAACAATCTATTTATAGAATCAGATAACAAGCTTCAATTGAACAAGAAAACTCTCAATAAAGTTTTTAAAATTTTTTAAAAAAAAACATGGATCTACAACAAACAAGCAATCAAAAGACCAAAATACACAGAAGCTCAATCAACAAGTTATTGAATAGAGTAACATAGTTTTGATTATGATTAAGCTTCATACGGTTGGATACGTGCATATTTTTTCGAAACAAAGCAGACCTTCTCGGCAATCATGTGTAGATTTACATTGCTGACGAGCATCGCAATCTCCTTTATTGCCTCCAGGAGTACAACGTTTCGTGAGATAATCAGATTGAACTGTTAATGAAATATACATGATGAATAAATATAATAATAAGAGTTATAAAATAATAATTAAATTCTGATATTTTACCTTCGTGGAGAGGTAACCCATGAATCAACAGGCCATGAACAATACAAATAAGAATTATAAAAGAGAAAAGATATTTCATTGAAAAGGAAGTCTATTATTATTTGAAAATGTTTTGAAGTTTATTATTATTTTTAGAATATTTTTTAGAGTTCAGTATTATTTTGAGAAGAGCATTTTCTTCGATCATTTCTGATATTTATATATAATTTTTTATTGTAATATTAAAATTCGGGGCTTCTTCAAACTTCAAAGTTGAAATTCCTTATTCGATAGAGATGAGCAAGGTAATAAATACTATTCACCTGAAATTCGTTTTTACCCGATTAAAGTAACAATTATAAGTCGTTAAACACTGTCATAACATCATACTAAACGAAAAATAATACGCTTATTTTCTAAGAGCCGAGATTTATTTCTTTTTTCCTTATTATTTTTTTCTTTTCACTCCTTACCTATTATTATTTTTTTTTATTATTGCTGATTATTTCTTATTACGCTTAATTCATTATAAATAAATAAATACTATAACCGCATTTTATATGTGTTTGCTACTAGTGATGCCACAGAGTTATCCATTTCACATGTTGATATTAAACTATATATAGGAATAATTTGTGTATAAGATAGCTGTGCGACGCTGTCACGCAAAACCAGGGACGCCTATGAGCGCTAATTCGAGACCATATAAGTTGTTTTTGAAGGATCTGATTTTCAAAATAACGCCTATGAGCGTCATTTCGTGCCTATATGGTACCCAAAACGTGTATTTATTGAAGGCCGACTATATTGAATTTAGAAAATCCTCTCTTATTTCAAAATAACTCACACGAGCATATTCGAAATAACGCGCATGTGGGCTTATTTCGCACTTATACGGTAATAATAATATATAGTTATTGCATACGAAGTATGCAATAGCGGTTTTATTTTATGCTTTACTATATCAGATTTATGAAATAGATCAATTATTTTATCATTTAAAAATACCATAAAATAATTGATTTATTTTATAAACTGATCATAGCAAAGTATTAATAAAAAATTTATATTTAATTGATTATAGCACGTTATACAATACTCCTTTAAAAAATGCAAAAATTATTAAATATACTTTTATAATGACTAAATTAATTTAATTAAGTTTACAACGCTAGTTATGTTACTGGGGTACAATATGTACTGTAATGTCAGAAAAGAAAATGGCGACTGGAATACTACTCTTATCAAGTATCTTCATAATGATAATAATGAAATCTGAGCGAAATCTGAGCGAAAATAAATAATTTATTTAAAATATAATTTATTTGAATATTTAATTTGTTGCCAGAGCAAAAAAGAAAATTACACTTTTCTATTCTCCATTCCAGTGCATATTAATAATAATACAATGACTTAACTCTTAATTTACAATTTCTTTTCTATTTTCAAACACCAGACCAACATTTATCGGCGCAGGTACAGGTCCTAAATATCTTTTTTTAGGTCCAATTTCTTCAGTATCAGTTCTAACGTCATATTTTAACATAATTTTATGCAAAATCACTTTAATCTCATTAACAGCTAAAGATCTACCCGGACACGCATGTTTTCCACCTCCAAATGTCAAATAATTACGTTCAAGTTTTGTCGCGGGAGAATTACGTTCCAAATGACGGAATGCATAAAATTCTGTGGGATTTTGACCTTGAAGTTCTTCATCATTATTTGTATCAGCGAAGTTTAAATTGACTATGCGACCTATGATTTTTAAATAAGTAGGGAAAAGATGAAAAGGTGTGAGAATTGTTATGGCTTGAAAAACTAAGAGAATAGCAACTAAGAAAAAAAAAAAAGAGATTACCATTTGGAACTTGATACCCATTCTCAAATGTATAATGAGATTTAGAAGTACATATGTGTGACAAACCAACTATAAAATTAGAAAGTCTTAAAGATTCTTTAACAAAGCTATCTAACTTCACCATTCTGGCAATATCATCAAACGTAAGTTCATTTCCATTACACTGTTCATTAATTTCCTGAGCTTCCTGACATAATTCTTGCCAATATTGTTCTTTTTTTTCTACCAAATCTAATTTTCAATAAACTAAATAAGTTAGGATTAAACTATTTTATAATAAAAATAGAATAGTACAAACCGTATAAAGCACGGGTAGCAAGACCAGATGTAGTTCCCATAGCAGCGAAAATAAATCTACCGATTGAATCGGCAATATAATCATAATTTACATTACTTGGATCGAGATCAGGAGTTACTTCGGGATCATCTAAGTAGCATTGTAATGCATCTAACTGGTTTTTTTTTTTTTTTTAATTAAATAGAAAGGTTAAAATCTTTAATATTTACGTAATCATAAATATATTTTCATAGGTAACTTACTTGAGCAACCCAAGCGTCACCTAATCTCTTTTTATCATAAAGACGTTTTTCGATGACCGGCTTAATACGATTGATAATCACTTTCCTATGTTTTGATATTGGATTCCAACCAAACCTTAAGGGAATTCTATTAGACAAAGAAATAAATCATTTAAATTTATTTTTTTTTGTGAAATTATCGTGTCTGAAGTTGATACTTCAGGCACAACAAAATAACTGACTTCTAAGATTTTAAGATTTTTTTTTTCAAAAAAAAAAACTTACGTGGTAAATTGATGATGAAGCCAGGGGTGTATAAAGGATAATATTGGTGGTATCCAAAAAATGGTTGTAATTGAATATGTTAAGCCTTTAAAAGTTTCTAATATATCTTCGTTGTTGTAACATTCCTAATTTTATTATAAGAGTAGTTAAATTAATGACAAGAAATTTTTGTAAAAAAAAATAACAATACAAATTTTATACATACTTCACCAACAACAATGTTAGCAACTGGCATAGCAATGATATCTGTTAAGGTTTTAATTGGTTCACGAATAACTTTCGGTTCTAACAAGAAAATAAAATTTCTTTTAAATTTCACATAAAACTTATAAGTTAAGGGCTTAAAAGACTTACCAACACATTCACCAATATAAAGATCTATGGCCGTAATAATATTTTTTTGTAATCTGCTTATGAGATGTTTTAATTTCCCTGCGACATTGTCTCTTACTATTTTGGCATTTTTTCCCTGAATCTTAGGATCCCTAAATATCAAATGTAGCGGCAATTGCTGTTTTTAAAAATTGAAAGAATGATTTAAAATGTATAGTAATATAATATTCGAAGGACTATTGCATTCGTTAAAGATATTCCAATTACCATTTTAATGCCTTCACTAAAGCTAAATTCCTGGTCTTTTTTCAATACTTCATGAGTTGTTTCTTTTCCGACTACGGTCATTATTTGACCGAATACATATAACGAAAATGTCTCTCCATACTATTATTAAAGATCATAAATTATTTTAGATCGTGAAAAAAATAGTTATTTTTGTTTCTTTTATTGAATTTTTTTTTTTAAAAATAATAATAATAATAATAATAAAACCTTTTCTCGAGATTCTAAAATTAACTTTTCACAATCCGTTAAATATCTCCAAGTATGTCCGATAATTGGAAATCGATAATAGACAAGGGGAGGTTCATTCTAAAAGATGTTAACATTTATATTAATATCATAATTATGAATAAATATTTATATGAAAAAAACTTACTAATTTAGTCCGCCTTGTTTGTTTGAACAAAAATGCTGCTAAAATTAATCCTATAATAAATGATTGAATATAGGTGTTGCTTAATAGAATTTCAATCATTTTTTCCGTGCTTGATTTTTGCTTTTTCTTCTTTTTTTTTAAATTATTTATTATTGTGTGCTAATTTGGATGTTAATCAAAACTTTATTTTCTTAAATAATTTTTAAATTTATTACAGCTGTTCTCATATATTCTTGACAATATAAAGTTTTTGAGTTCGGCCGAAGTCAGATACCTATTGATTCTGATTCTTAACTTATCGAAAGGAATTTTTCAGTAGCCCTGAATTTATTATTATGCCTACTGCGTGCAGTGTTGCCATGGCACAACTTTGGACATTTTTGATAAGAGAAATAAATGAATTACAATGACTAAAATACTGCTATTTTAATTTTTAGAAAACTTGGTACAAATAAATTACGATGACTTAAAGCATTATTATTCAAATTTCTAGAAAACTTGGTACAAACAAAAACGTACCGGCTGCGGTATAAGGGTAATTATGTGTCCGAATAATGTACGTAAGTACGTAAGTATTTAAGGAAATGCTTTACTAAAAACAACCTCATACATAATGACAATCATAACATGATGCAGGTTTCACAGCCAGTATTTAAAATCTATATGCGGAATCTGCGGTACGCAGCATTCTACAGGCAAACTTTCTTAGATTTTATTATTTGTCGAACATGTCATTCTTCTTTTTTTGAAATTTATTAGTTTACAAAAAGCATTAAGCTTTCAGATTTTAAACACTGTTTCCACCCTCGATGTAATTGCTATTATTTGTAGATCATTAGTAATTTTCCTAAAATCTGATTGACTAATAAGACAAAAAAAAAATCCCAGAAATAAAGATTTAATAACTATATGAGTGCTGCCATGTCAAAACCTGTAAGCGGATATTTGAGGTATCAATAAGGCAAATTGTGATATTACGTATTAAATCATTATATGAGTGCTGTCAAAGGAAAACTTACAATCGGACTTTCAAGTATATTTTATGTACAGTTGGTTATCTGTGTGCCATCTATGATAAATTTATGTCCGATGATAGATTTATCATAGTACACTAAA